ACGACCTTTCTGCCCTTGAGCAGCGGCCGCGTGACTCCCGGCGGTCCGCTCAGCTCGTTAAGCGGCTCCGCGCCGCTGACCTCCTTGTAGCTCCGCCCCCGTCGCTCCCCTGACATTGTTGCTCAGTCTGTGATGCGGCCATATGCTCTTTGTCACACGCAGACAATGATGAGGCTGGCATTTCATTTTATGCAGCGCTGCATTAAAGTCCAGCGTGGAGGTTCTAGAGAAAGAAAGGAAGGATTGTGTTGACTTTCAAATGTTATTTTATGGAAATGATTTTTAGCTGTTTCGCTAATGAACCTCAGAGGCCGTGTGCTTTGATGTACTGTCATGTAAATTATGGACGGAAGTGGCAATTATATTCCCCATGGTTTCATCTTCGACATATGACACATCAGAAAATGGTGATTGCACAATTTCCTGCACCCTGAGGTGACTTCAGATGTCTTTATTCCTCCAGTCGACACCCCAAAATAAGACCCCTTAATGTAAATGAGTCCCTCGGCATGAAAAAGCCCAGTTCTGCTTGATGACAAACTTGATTTAGTCGACTAACCAATAAATGACACATCGTTGTAGAAAAAGTAATTTATGAGGCGGAGGGATTTCTAATTAAAGTCTCCAAACGTGTTTTCTTAATGAAGCTTTAAATTGATCATTTTCTGTAAGTGGTCAGCTTTTTTTGTCCAATGTGACTGTTTTCTAGTGGGTTGTGAGTCGGGTTGTCGCTTTGTTTTCAATCCAGAAAGCACTTTGCAGATTGTTAGATGGTGAAACTCGGTTGCTTCCCTCGTGTCCCGGCGGGCCCCCACATGCAGGGTGCCAGTAGTAGTCTTTAGTGTGTGTGTGTGTGTGTGTGTGTGTGTGTGTCAGTGTCATCTGAGGAATGCAAGCCCGTCACATAAGACGGCCCCTGCGCTGTCACGGTAACGGGACCCGGGGAGGCCGAGGGGTCGCCGGCGTAGGAAAGGCAAACCTTTTGAGAAGGTCTGAACTGGATCGCGGCCCGGTGTCAGGCGACGGATGAGCGGACACACATTCAGCCCGGTTACAGGAGGCTCGCATAGGGGAAAAAAAGTCAATTCGCTTTAAAACCACACGTTGTGAATGGGACGGTACATCTAAGAAATCCATTCATTGTGGAGCCACAGTTCGCAGGGTGAGTGCAAAGCGCCCCCCTCCTCCCCCCCTCGCAGTGACAAGTGAGCAATTGTTATAAAACTAGGTCGTCCTCTCTCCCAAATTGAGGGGGGGGGGGTGATTACTTTGCGCGTTTCCCAGCTATTATTGGAAAAAACAGAAGGACAACAAAGTGGCGTGATCACCGCCGTGCGCGTCTTGGACGGCGGCGGCGGCGGCGTAACGAGCTCGCCAGTGGAGCCGCGTGCAGTCTGACTGCCGCATGTTTAATTGATACGATACCCGATGCAGTCATTTGAGCCCTAAACATCGAGGGAATTGGTGATTTTCACAAACACAAACGTGTGGATGACGACGAGATGCGGGACCCGTGAAATGATTCAGCAGCCGTGACTTAAGCCGCTCAAGTTGCTTCTTCACCTGGCTTCCATGTCGGGCGTGAGCTCCTCCGACGCGAGATGACGCCCTGCCCACGCAGATTGGAAACGCCGCTGATCCCTCGGCCCGGTCGGGAGGGAACGGACCTGTAATCACCGGAAGGAAGGATGTTCTCGGCGGTCGGATGAGCGGGCGTTGATTTCCTCCGACTCAGCCCGTGGGCGTCTGGCTTTAAGAGGCCCTGACACTTAATCGCTCTTTCCTGTGATGAATAACAATAAAGCCCCATGATGCATCAGTCCCCCGACGCACGCCCCGACACCGCAGCCTCTCTGGCCAAACTACCATTTGTGGATCATTCCAATAAGACAATGTGGAGATATTGGTGTGTGTGGTCATCAATCTGCTTGGGTCATCAGTGATGTGCCCCCCCCCTCCGCTCCCTGCAGTGTCCCATTGTGTCAGAGCGCTTTGCATACCGGCTCTTTGATGTTTCTGCACGGTGGGTGATGGATGCACGCAGAGGTCGGCTATCTGCTCTCAGCCAGGGTGAAGTGGGAATGAAAGGGTTGAGCATGGGGGGGGGGGGAAAGCTAACGGACACTGTGGTGTACAGAGATAAAGGAAAGCAGAGGCACTTCTCAGCCGCGTTAAAGGGCAAATAAGCGGAACAAACATTGGATTAAAGCAGCAGCTACCTTTTTGATAATGTACTAATCACATTGAAAGCCCATTTTCCTGTATTTTCCACTTTCTTTTTTCACTATTTTGACGATAGAAAACGAACCCATCGAAGAATATCGGCACTATTTGTTTTTTGAGGCTCTTTAAAGATCAATCTGGGAGAAACCTTTACAACAAACACAAAATGATGCCGTGTATTTTTGAGCTGCAACATACAGAAGATGATTGACTGGTAGATGGAACCTGGCTTATTTTTTTAAAATATCAATTTTGATTGCTTTTCCTTCCATGTCGTCGACCAACCGATTACCGGATTAATCCAGGAAATAATCGCCACAGTCAAGTATGGCCGCCGATGAAAGCGCACATACCTGCAGCCTAATTTATGCCAACGGCCAGCTGACATTTTGAATGTATTATCAAACCGTTGGTAGGAGGCAGCGTCATATCCTTTTGTTTTTTTTTAAATCACTTAAGGTCACTGATGGTGTCTCAATGCTCGGATCTGTTACCGCGTGAAGTGTCAGTGGAGGAGACAAAGCGAAAACATCACAACTTCCGTAGCCTCCCTAACCCCGGGGGAGGTTTATCTCTCGTGTCGATGTCACGAAGCCGGCATGCGAGGAATGTCATCGGTAGTCCGGCGCCAGCAGCTTTGTGTCCGCCAGGGTTTTTGTTGAGAACGGCATCTCTGCTTGTTTTTTTTCCCTCCTCGGGAGGCCACCTGTGTTCCCGGAAGGATAACGTGGTTCAGATAAGGAAGGAGGCGGGATTAGATGGTGTCACCTGTGCAGCCCTGGTCAGGTGGTGGTGGTGTTGTTGTTAATGGACAAGGCTTATTCTTTATTCAGCACGCAATGAGCAGACCTTAGAGCTTAATGCAGCGTGTCCTTGTTTACTTTCTGATCCTGATTCTGTGCTTGGATGCTGTTCTTCTTTTAGCAAAAAGAAGTGTTGAAGATGAAAGCGTAGATCAACAAGAACAAAAGAGAATAATTTAAGTACATGGAAGGTCTTTTTAGTTTTGGGCTTTTAAATTGTTTTGAAATAAACAAATGAATTGCCTTGTGGGGGAAAAATAGCAGCGTCTGTTGAAAGCGTGTCGGTTGTGTTGGGATTTGTCCTAAAACCGTCTCGTCTCCTGTGCGCTTTGTGGTTATTGTGTTTGGCGCCGTCTGAAAGGAGGCCGCAGAGAAAAAGGGAAATGTAGCGGAAAAAAAGATGGGCTCCTTTGCATTCTTTCCGTACAGTCAATCTGAAATATTTGAGACTGAAGCCATAATTGATGGTTCTGCATAGTTCTTCCTGTGAGGCTGCGTTTGAGTGGCGCTGTTTTATTCTCGGAGGGGGAATACTGCCCCCCAGTGGTGACCTTGTGCCAGTGGTATTCATTCATTCCTTGCGTCTTCTCCACCCCGTCTAGAGCTCACTTTTATGGATGTATGTGGTCATATACATGCGGTTTCCTTCTCAGGGAAATGGTACATTGAAAGTTTTGATGAGGTTTGGGTCGGAGGTTCAACAATCAAAAATGATCTTGTCATAATACTCTGACAAAGACAAATGTTTGGTATTATCCTAATAATCTTCCATGTATCTTAATACAACTCTCAAATGGCACCAAAACATAATGTAAAAACGTGACATCACATGTTGTGCCCCCATAATTAAAAAGCTACAGCCATAAAAATGGTGGGAAGGACACAAAAGTCACTTTCATGTCTTCGGATTGCTTGTTTAATCTGACCAATACAAAAGTAAAAGCCAGTGGATTTCTGGCACCTTTTCATTTTAATCAATTGATTTACTGATTAATCAGTAGCAGGGCATTTTCCTGCTAATTTCTAAGTAAATTAATAATCAATTAAATACCAGCCATTAACCCAAATTGTCCCCTGTTTGTTTCTTCGGGTAATTGCTTGCTGTCCTATAGTTTGCATTTGTTTTAGAACCCTTAATATGAATTATTTATTTTTTGCATCGGCATGAGCTCAATATCCAAAATGTTCCCGGTGGGCCCGAGGCTGTGATTCCTCATCCGGCCAGTAGGTGGCAGTGTGTGTCTGAGCATCGCCTCCACTGAACAGGTGCGCCTGTGACCACTGACATCTGGAACATCAGGATTCGGTTAGTGGGGATGCGTCACATTTTGACAACACCGAGCAGACTTTCATTCCGTTGTGGTTTATTACAGTTTGCTTCATGGCTGTTAGAATGCGGTTTAGCTTTTATGTGCTGTCTTTGACTTTTTTAATAATCACTTTTGATCAGACTGACTTTTAGTGAAATGCTGCAGTTTGTATCTAATACCCTAGTTAGTGTGAGTCCATCCTGTCATTCAGCCAATTTCCCACTAAAGTATCAAGGTGGGGCCTCATGTGTGCGTCCGTAGGATCTCAACACCGTCTCCGTTGTCCCTCTGCTGCGCCGCTGCCACCGACCGAGGCGCCCCAGTGGCTGCAGCCGGCATCGCCACACACACACACACAGAGGCAGTGGGTACCAGCAGACAGTGGAGGAGCTGTCTGGCAGCTCAGAGAGCCACTTTGTTTCACCTCTGACTGTGATTGCGAGTCGCTCACTGGCTCGCTTGATGGAGGAAGTGAATGGGCAGTTCATAGCTCACAGTGTAGTTGTTACATTAGTCTTTCTCTGCGAGGTGCTTTATGGCTTTCTGACCCGGCGCTCGGACACATAAATCAATGTTGGCGCGTGTGAGAGGTTCTCTGAATGAATGAATGAATGAATGAATAATCCGTGTCTGCGTCTAACCCCACTTGTCCTTTGTCCCTCAGGACCTGGAGATCGTCTACTCGTACCTCCACGGCATGGAGGCCTTGTCCAACCTGCGAGAGCACCAGCTGAGGTCAGTGTCTGCACCAGCTACTCTGGTCACATGACCTGGAGCTCCAGAAGTCACACGAGTCTCAAAATGCTCTTCCATGAATGCCTTTGGGTTTCGATCAAAACAAAAAGTGATGATCGTGATTCCCTTTTTCTAAAACTAAAGTAATAATTAGTTTCAGCCCCGATTTTTACTTTCATTTAAAATAGTTCATTTTCAGTGGCCCATATTGATAACAACAAAAAAGCAAAGCTTCACTGTGTTGAAAGGTCTCCAAACGGCGCATGTCACAGGTCTGTTCCCAGCATGCCTTGTGTGCAGACATGTGGATCGCTCTGGCAACGGAACAATGTGGCAGTACACGACCCGCGAGCTGGAACATTCCACTGTGTGTGGCCCCCCCCCCCCTCCGCTGTGTGGACCCTGAGGAATGTCCCCGTGGTCCCACAGTGAGGTCCTCCACGGTCAGCTTTCATTTTCCCATCCTTAGAGAAGCAGCATTCCCAGCCCTCCCACTGACGATGGGATTACGGAATAGATCTTTTCTTTGCTCCACCTTTCATCTGTTTTCCCTGCGTCGCTCTTTTTTTTTTTTTTTTTTTTTTAACAGCAACTTGTTTTTTTAGAGGCGGAATTGTTTTGTTTTTTTCTGCCGATGTGCAGCGGCTGCAGAACAATCTCCCCCCCCCGGCTGTTTTTTGAAGCCCTTTGTGTTGTGATCAGCTTGTGTTCACTACGGCTGCCTGTCTGCACAGTTGAGGCGCAGTCGTCTTCTCTGGGGGCGTTTTTTTGTGGAGGACTTTCTATTGTGTTACGTTGTGTGTTGTGTATCTGCAATTTTAACAATGTGAACACCATTTACCCCCCAAAAAGCACAACATAGGATTAAACCATCTGTTTACTACTGATAATACTTTGATATTATTATGTTACATCCTTGCTGATTAACGCGCTTAAACAGCGTTCCGCTAATGAGGGCCGAGCACAAAGAGCCTAATTGAGGAGGAGACTTTACTGCACAATATAAGCTCAGCTGACCTGCATAAATAACACGAGGCAGTAAGAGTCTTGATGTTGCTCAGTGTTGTTCATGAACTAAACTAAAATCCCCCAAATAACTGGGTGAAGGTCCTTTCTTGGGGGCTGCCATCAACAACAATAGAATGAATTAAAAACAAAAGATAATGAAACGTTTGGCAATAACACGACACTTTCCGCTGAAAGTAAAGCTCAACATAAAGTAAAGCCTCTATTCTCCTCATCAACGCACTGTGTGAATAAGCCCCTCCCATTGGACGTAGATCAGAATCCCCTGTTCACTGCCTGTCACTCATGTTGGCCGAAGGTCCTTCTGGGAAATGTAGGACATCCATATTTGTAGGTGATGCTACGTCCTTATCAGAGCAGCATCTAGATCTGCTCCATGTTTCCTGTTTTGTAAACTGCTGACTAACAGAAGTTTCTGTTTCCTCCCATTGTATTCTGATGCTGACTCCCCCGCCCCCCTTCCGCTCTCCTCTTGCAGGATAATGTGCGAGACGGTTCGCTACGAGAGACACGAGGCCAACGAAGTGCTCTACTAGTAAGTATCTCCATGTCTGGAACCGCATTGCGTGTGGTAAATGGCTAATCATGTTTATTTGGTCAAACGCTTGAAACCAGCACACAAAAATAGGGTGGTGGTCCCGCGAAACCCTCTCCGGCACCGCAGCAGGACAAGAACCTAGAAGGTCCACCTCAGTAAGGCCTTTAGTAATGAATGAAGGCTCCCTGCGGCCGTCCCTTCGCTCCAACCAGTCGGCAGCAGTACGGCTTGTTTGCGTCCTCCTTTCCTGCGGAGGCTTAACGGGATCCGAAAGCCGTGCTGTCATTTTCCTGACGGCATCCCAGTGAGTTCGCTCCGCGCTTTCAAAGGCCGCAGTTAGCAGAGCGCGACGCGAGAGCTCGACTTCTGTCACGCGTCACCGGCTCCTCGAGCTCCCACGCTGAGACTTAACAGCGTTAATTAACGTTATCGGCCTCTCGAGGGCCGACAGAAGGCGCAGCGTCCCTTTTCTGCGTCCTGATCCTGTGTGTGTGTGTGTGTGTGTGTGTGTGTGTGTGTGTGTGTTGATGCGGGCGTATGCATGTATACGTGTGTGTTGGGGGACGATGGGCTCGAGTCAACACAGAAGACCGTCGGCGGCGTGGGAGCTGATTAAACAATAGGAATGCAGATTAGACAGCAGTCGCGTAATAGACTCCACTTTATGCAAGATTTCCACACACACACACACACACAGTCTCTTTGCATTTTGAGCGGCATCTGTAAGAGCTTTCATGATTTCCCTCTCAAACGTCAATATGCAAATAGTAACACTAATTGGAAGGTGGTGGATGTGAGACATTGATTTGATCCGGTAATGATGTAAGTTAATTAGAGTCTCTGCTAACGGAGACAGCCGCTGTCTCACGTGAATGCAGGTCTAACATAACTTCACTAGACCTGCGTTTAAATCAAAATGTGGCCGGATGCACTTTAAAACCATAAGCGGTTATTTGTAAAAGGCGTAACGTGTGTCAGAATACCGTTTTGAACGGAGAGTCGTAGCATGCACATCATATTCTTCTGATGTAAGAAAACACAGATCCCATCATAACCGAGTTTGTTCAATGAAACGCCAACAATGATGGAAGGAACAACCATTCCTGTCTATTGCAGAGGCCATTCAGTCTAAATAATCGTAATGAAAAATGTTTTCGTCAGTCGTGTCTTCTATGACAAGATAACAGTGGATTAGAACAAAACTACTTTTCTTAGTTCACCTCCAGGCAAAAGCACGAACACATCGGGTCGTTTATTACAAGCGTCTCCCTGACGACAGTCAAACAGCAGCGGGTGAGATTGACTCTTCTCCTGTGCGAGTCCAGTGTTCTGAACTATGACGACAAAATGTTCGTTAACGACCTTTTTTCCATGACGAAGACGAGACGAAAACGATCTTAAAAAAATAAAAACTGCGTTCCTCGGTGGATGAGACGCTCCGTCACAAACACGTCTTAACGTAATAAACTCGTAGCAGGTTCTGAAGCCTCGCGCATTTCAACGATAGTTAACGCGCCACATCGTGAGAAGACGGCGTTAAACCGTCTCGGCCACCGTACGCTCGTTACTAAGCAACGTAGAGGCGTCACACACGTGACCGGTGGATCCTTTTGATAGAAGTGAGCAGTGCAGGTGGAGGAAAACCCGCAGGACACAAGAGAGAAGAACTGGTCATGAAACCAACACATAAACAAAGAGACAAAGAAAAGACTGTTGAATGAAAAGTGGGGGTCCAGTTTAGAACGGCTGCTTTATGATGCAGCCAAGAAAATAATGTATTGCACCGATTGTAGGACGTTAAGGGGTCTCTTTTGTTGGGACAGTGGAAACGATAAAGGACCATGAAGCTTCCGGTGGCCACGTCAAAAGCATTGCAGACAAAGAAGTTGTTACACACTTGACAATTTGTTAAATTGCCTTGCAAAAAAATGCTTTGCTATTTGTTAAAATCCAAATCTTTTCATGTAATGATTTTTCACATGTCATTTATATCAGCTCACACAAACACTTCAACCATTTGTTCTTGGCCCGGCTCCTCCGTCACATTTTACAACCCACTGTGGCCCGCGAGTCAAAAGGTTTGCCGACCCGCTATAGACCTGTCCTAGGAGGGACATCTGATGGACCACCAAGTACTGCAAGCTACACTATTATGCAGCTGTAGACAAGTTGTAGATTAAATGTGACTAAAACTAAAATGCATTTTCGTCTAAAGACTAAGACTAAATCAAAAATAGCGTCCAACATTAACACTGGCGAGATCTTTGAAGAATGGAGCTTGTTCCTAACCGAGGCCTCTGAAGGTCTATCAGTAACTGGATTGTGTATCTCTGCTGCGATTGTAGCGTAAAGCTTGTCCATTGAGTCATCTGTCAGAGAGTTTATTCCCTTGGAGTAGAAACCAGGTGCTTTTTTTGAGAAGCTCCAGGTCTGGTCAGGTGACTTCTAGCCGACGCCGTGGAGTTGACGACTGAATCACAGTAACGCCGGCGGGTTCGACTGGACTACCCAGAAAGGGAGACGCGAGGAAACACCACAGTGTTGATTCGTTGGTTTTATTGTCATGCCCGAGGGGGGAACCCGCCCGTAGTGAGACAGAAAGCTCAGACTGGGAAGCGCCATCAATCAGTGGGGAAACGCCGGGTGAGTTCACAACGGGTAAAGGATGTATTTTATTTAATCTCTATAGCTACACGGCGGCGGTCCGATACAGGGCGAGGAGGGGGGCCCCCCCGTCATGTTAAACCTGGCTAATGACCAATCAGTTAAATCACTTCATGGGGGATTCTATTGGAAATTATCCCTTCCCTCATCTGTTGCATGAAAGGAGGAAAATGCCTTCAGTGTTTTTTTTTTTAGCTTTAGTTACAACTGTCCTCGCATGACATAAATTGGAGCAAACTGTCCTCGTTAGGCAGCCGTTTCTCTTCTGAATGCACTTCTGTTTGAGGTCGAGGCGACGGCGCTAAATCCTGGCTGCATCCACATTCCATCCGTGATGTCTGAGAAGAAGCACTGTGCTTCCCACCAATGGCCGAGCTAGCGCCCCGCTAGCGCCCCGCTAACTACCCGACAGCTGGCCGTCCTGCAGCAGTGACAGAAGGAGAAGTGTAACAGTTAAAGTGCTCACTTTCCCTGGCTGACACACACACACACACACACACACACACACACACACACACACACACACAGCCCGTCTCGTGGAAACATCGCATGCCGTGCGAGCATCCAGGTTATAGCGCCAAAGCCCTCCTGAGATGGAAGCCGACCCGGCGCGTCCAACACAAGCTGGTGAAGAGCGTTGGTACCTTCTGGGCCGCTTTTAACCTCAGCCATGTCTGCTCTGACCTTTGACCCTCACTAATCTGTGTGGTCCAACTGAAAATGCCTTTTAGATGTGCCAAGCGATGGCGTTTCGGTGGAATCGGCCCGTTCGGGAGTCTCGAAGGAGTCAAATAGTGTACGTTTTTGTACTTTTCATAATTGGCATGATAAGACCAAGTGAAACTTTGATAATTCCAGAATCAATGTTTTGTCTTAAAATCAGTACTGCCCTTGTGTTTGATTACTTGTTTAGAATAAACTCAGTGGGACATATTCGCAAACCTCTCGGCTCTTTCCCTCTTGGGCTTTTTTAGATTAAAGCCATTTGACAATTCTGAAACTGGTATGAAAGCTTTTCATCATACAGCATTGTGACATTCAGTCTCTTGAGAGTTTTAATGGGGAAAACAACAAAGAATACTCATATTTTATCTTGTTTACGTCTGGTGTTGTGAGTCCGTCCTCTCAGTCCACACACGGACTACACATGAGCGTGAATATCAATTAGATGCAAATTATAGTATCCTGTGAAAAGTCAAGAGAAGTGAATGTCGGATTCTACCAGTTGAACAATTGTTTCTGGCAGAAAAATGCGACATCATTCATTCTTGAATTAAAAACGTCAAAAAAAACTATTCTCGTTGCACAAAAGTCGCTGTAATTCTCCTGAGACCTGTCTCACTTCACCCCACTCCTTCCTCGCCGTGGTACCGACCTGATTCAGCGCCGTTGAAAGCTTCCCGGGGGGAGGGGGGGAGGGGGGGGTCTCTGGATCATTTTTACCGTTTGACGATCGCTTCCAGTATTGGTGACCCAGTTCAGTCGAGCTGTCGCGGTGCATAACCGTCTCCCATCTCCTCCTTCTGCAGCGTCGTCCCCCCTCCTCCTCCTCCTCCTCCTCTTCCCCGTCAGGTGCTCCACTCGCGTCTGCGTGCCTGCAATTAATAATTGAGCATCTCGTTGGTGTCATCTCGGTACGCAAAGAGGGGAACCATGAAAGGCTGGAGGGAGTCCGGAGGGAGGCGGATGGAGAGCAGCGGGGGGGGAGAGAAGGAGAAGATGCGGGTGGAGGATGTTGCACTCTGTCAGTAGGGTGTGCTGCTGTCTACAGCCTCATTAGTTCTACAAGTGTAGAGAGGAGGATGGAGAAGAACGGGGAGACTCTCTGTGACTCACGTGGGTGTTTAGTGCGGCCATCTTTCACCTCTCTGTGAGTAAAGCAGTCCCACATCGCTGGCTGCTCATCGATTCCCCCTCAGACGGGGTGAAGACGCTCACGAGATAAAGTGCATAGATAATGAAAATTAGAAATTCCTCCTCTAAGAATCCCCGGCATGCTTTATTAATAGCGACTCTGCACAGAGTTGTTTATTCCACGGCAAACGACCCTCAGTGGAATCTCTCGGTGTTTCATATTAAGGCCTTTGGTTGAACACTAATGCCACATCATTTGGTCTGTGATTTACATTAAATTGCGACGAGGATGCGTTTGCGGTGGTTTGTTGACGGACGGATGCGTCATCCACAGCTCCGTCTGGCTTCACTTTGTCTGCCGTGCCCAATTTCTTCGGCCCGCGTGGGAGGATCGTGAGGAGTGGTGATTCCTCAGTTCATTCATGGTTCGATCTCTCTTGCTTCATTGTTTCATTTTTACATTTGCATCCTTTTTTTTTTATCCGCATTGCTGATGCATTGAATCGCAAGCGCTGTGCGTCGCATAATAGGAATTAAATCTGCATTGAAGGCCGGCTTGGTAATCTTAAAATACAGCAGTGTGATTTAAGATTAAATGTATCCTAAGAAAAAAAAAAAAGTGTTTCCAACTCTTTATCCAGAGAACGTAGCTAGCAGCACTAGCTTTTGTTGCTAAATCTGCTGCAAGCCTTTCAAATTCACTTAAGGACTCAATAGTTTCATTATATCACGTGTGTGTTTTGTCTCCATTGGTCACTTGTGCTCAACGTGTCTCTTCTTTCCGTCCTGCAGCCCTGACGACATCGGGAGCTGCTGGTACATCCTGCTGTCCGGCTCCGTCTTCATCAAGGAGTCCATGTTCCTGCCCAGAAGCAGGTAGGATTGAAGGGTCGACGTCGACACCAACTCTGGTGCCGCTTCCACCTTTTTAAAGCCCACTTAGGACGGTCACATCGGGAGATAAAAAGCCAATCCCAGTCCAGCAAGAGAGGCTATTTTAATTTGTTATCTCAAGAAAGTCTGTTTCCACTCTTATCATCTTGCTCTTATCAAGGCGAGTAAATACAGATGTCTTATTTCACCCAAATCGGCATTCAAGCCAGAGTTACGGTTACAAAGGGCACCCAGCTTCCTTCTTAAAAGGAGTTTAAATCGCATAATTGCTTTTTCTTATATATTCAAATGGAAGAGAAGTGGCTGCTGCTGCCGCCAACTGCAAGCTCACTTTTGTTCCCAAAGGGTTTTCGTTTGTATATAAATCCCATCTAAATAATGAACAAAATGTTGCTGAGTTTACGGCTCAGCGTGGGGAATTATGTTTGTACACCTGCTACTCAAAAAGCCTGATGTAGCCGAGCTACATGCACACCATGGAGCAGCCGTACGCAAGTCACAATGGCTAACAAACAGGATGGAATAACGAACTGGCACCTTTTCAAAGTAAAGTTTGACCCGGGACTTAAAAAAAAGAAAAAAGACATTTTGTCCCCAAAACCCACCCCCCATTACGTATGATAATTAACTGCAATACGCTCAGAAGACCCGCCCCCACCCCCCTCCCTCCACCTTCTACCAGCAGCGATCGCCAACTCTGAAGCCAAGATCCGACGTTGGAAATCCTCCATTTCACAAGTGGTTGCGTTACATGAACCAGCTCTGTGGGCGCTGAAAACAATGGTCTCTTCATTCATTAGAGCTGCATAACGCACACCCACGGTCGGGGGGCCACTCGGCGCTCTCGTGCCGTAGAGCCGTCCCCGGCGGTGCTGCGGGGGGTCAGAGGAGAACGTGGGAGGCATTTCGATCTGAACGCTACCAAAACGCTGCTCCCCTCTCCAGTAAAACCTTCTTCGTTTCCTTTTGCCGCGGTGAGAATGTGTGCAGGAGGATTTGTAGATATTGGCAGGTTAAAGTTGGTCACTCTGAAAGTGTTTACTCGGCATATGCCGCAAGGAGGCCGATGCACAGGTCCGCCCGGCTGCCGGAGTCCATGCTGAGCTCGTCTTGGTTCGCTCACCTGCACCGAGATCCAACGCGCAATGCGCAGTTCGCTCCCCCAGAGAAATGACAACTTCTCGTGTGCCCGAGCCAACGCTGTGACCGTTCCATGACCTAAAGGTTTGTCTGGCGTTAACCGTAAAGGAATATCATGCAGGTTAAAAAGACTGAGAACCATAAAGCAGCTGTCACGTATTGTAATGCGGCTTGGTGAGTCCATTGCGTGATAACTGGGCACATTTATCGAGGAAGGTGGAGCAGCTCATCTTCAGCTGTTAGCAGCTTAGCCTCCATCACTTCCCTCGGTGACGCGCTAAAAGCCTCATTCACGGGGGAGCGATGACTGGCGACCTGCTTCTCTGGTGACACGGAGACTATGTGACAATTTCAAATGACACATTGTGGTCGGGAAGTTTTTTGGGGCTTTCAGGCCGTTGAAACGTCACTTATACTCTTGATTGTTTTTGTTTTTAAATGCCACAGTGACATGGAGGGGGGGGGGGGGCTAAATGGCTGGTGGGACAGATTGGTTGTGACACAAGGAGCTGAAGGGAGTCCAGCAGGACTGAAGCTTTTAGATACGAGTGAGGGGGGGGATTGGGTTTCAGACGGACCGGGCCCAGAACTGGCTGCTCGTATCTCCTCTGGCAGCAAGGTGGGGAACCCGATATGCTTCCACCGCTCACTCGGCCGAGGGTCGGGTCCCTTTCGGCGCCCCCGTCCCCTCCCTCACTGGGAGCTGTAGTGGGGAAACAATCCAGGGAAAAGAGGAACGAGTCCCCGTGTGGAGAAGACGATGCTCCGTGCTTTATTTAACCCGGAGGTCAGCCAAGTAAACGGACCCAAGCAGGCGGGTGACTCACATTGAACCCACGTAGGAACACGCGCGGTTTAACAACATGTCACTGTGAGGAGCTCATGTCCCCGTGTTGGTCCCCCCCTCCTCCCGCTGCCTGCCCTCATATCACTCTCAGTCCACTGCTGTCAGGACTTCACCCTCCTGACGCGCCGCCTCGTATTAACCGACCAACACCACGACAACTGGACCGGCGGCTCGGCGGCGAACCTCGCGCGCCTTCGTCTGCATCGGCTGGTTTCCCCCCGGTGACGTCCTCATCTGTGACTGCGGCCGACGAGGTGATCCGGCGATAATTCATTCCGTGTCACCGTGGACGCTCACGCTCGCCCCGTGTTCTGCCCGAAGGTTGAGGGGCGACACTTACTGTGACGTCACGCCAAGGGAAGAAGAGTGTTTTCCTCGTGTGTGTGAAGGAAAGCGTCGATAAATCTGTCAGGTTGTTGTTGTTGTTGTTGCCAGCAGTGACTCACATCAATGAGGCCGGCCAGTAGAACAAGTTAAACTAACCAAGTTTAGATTAAAGGAACCAAATACTCAGCCTTTCATTTCAAGGAGGCTCCACATTCTAAATAAAAGACCCTGCGATGTAAATTGGAAACGTGGCGTAAAAGCGCTCTACCGAATTGCATTATGGGAAATGTAGGATTCATCCTGCTCCCTGAAGACGGAACGTCAAGTTCAATCAGCAGCTGCTGGTTTAGGGTTAAATACAGACAAGCGGTTTCTTATTTATTTTTTTTTTCACCAGTAAAGCAGTTTAAAGTTTAAGCCTCTATCCGCAGCGCTGCCTACTCATTAAACCTCGAGCTGTGTTGTTCGCTTTTGCATTCGTGCTAGGATCAAAATAAGCATGAAATCTGTGGCCGGGGGGCGAGTTGCACAAACTAGAACTAAATGTCCGTAGGTTTGTTTTTTTATTGTGGCTGATTTGAGTCACGTGTAAAAAAAAATATATATATATTCTATGATGTTAACTTCATCAAGTAGAGAATAAAGCTTGTGGAGCATCCGACTGCGCGTTTGGGAGTTTGCCGTTTTAATATGTCTGAGTTTAAGTAACAATTATGGAATCATTGTTTCAAAGAAACCGCAGTTTACTCAAAACTGCTATTGTACAGGATACGTGATGAAAGTGCTTTATGAGTAACGTTACGAATGAACAGCAGCTGTCCAATTCTGACTCAACGAGCCTCACACACACACACACACACACACACACACACACACACACACACACACACACACACCGTCCTCTCACTCACTTGTCTCTGTGGCAGGAAGTGAGTCGTTCGCTGGAATGCTGGCTGTAGTAGAGAGGGAGGGAGGGAGAGAGAAAGGGAGGGAGGGAGGGAGGGGGCAGAGCCGTTGAGAGCCACACACTCCAATCCTCAGACGGCAACACTCGGGTGTGCGCAGGACGAAATGCAGTCACGCCGGAGTTTCGGGGCTTGAAAGCTGCTCGCCGGACCGACTGTGGACTAACGGCGTGGTGGGGGGGGTGGGGAGGGAGAGGGGGGAGGGTCCCCTCATCTGATTATCTGGTGATCCGGTTGGTGGCGTTTGGGGGTGAGTGTCCAGACCACGGCAGTAGAACATTGAGTCTAGAATGTGAATCACGTCTCTGATGTTATTTTGGGGCTGTCGGTGTGCAGCAGTGTGTGCTGCCAGTAAGACGGGGTGTGTGTGCTCTTTGGGGTCGGGGTCGGAGATGGAGCTCTTGTGGTGGGGGTGGGGGGTCTGTTGGGAAGGGTTCCATAGATGCAGTGATGTCCTTGCGATGAGCGGCGTGCTCCGTCTCTCCCTTGAAAACTCCTCGTGCCCTTTTCTTGCACGCCGCGTTTTATTTTATTTTGGGAAGAGCTAAAAGTCACATTCCATTCGCACATTCTCGACATCGGCGTCTATTTCAGAAGTGGGAGGGGGGGGGCAGCGGTTCGGCCCTTGTGTGCCTGGGGCCGTAACTCCCAGGAATCCCGTCTATGTCTGGAAGGTCAGAGGTGGTTGGACGGACCGCTGCAGCTCGGAGGGAATGAGTCGACGTCCTCTCCCTCCTCCGAGTCGGTCGGTCAGCTGGGAGCGAGCGCGTCAGGGCTTCATTTGAAAATGACGAAGTGGAAAACCAGCTCATGCAAAAAGCGCCGAGGATGGATATAGAATCTCTGGTTGTTATTCATACAATCTAGTTCTTAAGTTACGTACCTGTAAACCTCGAGCAACAGGCTTTGCATGACGTCAGGTGTCCACGTTAGTGTGGATTTGCACGGCCTCATTATGAAATTGCAATTTGAATACATCAGGTTTTCAGAAGCATCACAATAACCACCTGGAAGTCCGAAACTCTTGATTTGACAGGAACGTCACTCTGAATTCATGCTCTGTCTGGTGTCTGCAGGGGGAATTCAGATAATGATCATTTAATGTAGAGTTGTGTTGTCGAACGCGGAGACTCTCGTTAGAAGTGACTTCCCACCATCTGGCACGTTCCTCATCGTTCTTCTTATCTGGTGGTTTGTGTGCCAGCACACGCTGCAGTTCCCAGGAAAGCGAGCGCAAACCTCACTACACCCGAATTCCTCCGCGCTGCATTAATAATGGCAAACGGGTCGTGCACACCGGTGGAGCAAACAAAAATGAGAATATTTGCAGGGCGAAGAGTCTTGGTGCCCAAACCCCAACAGAACCGAGCGTCATGTGTTCGTGTCGTCCACACAGCAGCTCTTGTAATTTAATATTCGCCGAGGACATTGTAGCACTGGAGGCTTTAATCCTCCAAACAGGACGCGTTTGTGTTTTGAAAAAGCCTCCCACCCCCCCCCACACTGCACTTCCATAATCCCGCCTCCCATCTCTCCGGGTGCTGGTGCCGTTTGGCCTCCAGCAAAAAACGGGGGGGGGGGGTTGGATTACCAACGTCAGGAATGTAATGGAGCAACATGATTGAGCACGTCGCTTTGTTGGCGGCATCTGGTGGCCCCGGCGTGTTGGGTGATGCGTAATGGCAGGATTCAAGAGAGCCGGCCTCGGGGGGGGGAGGGGCTCAGCGGGATCCGAGCCGGTACCGACTCCCGACGCCGCTCCGTTCGTCCGAAGCTGCCGCCCAGCTGAGGAATCGTCTCTGCCTGGAATGAGTTGCAAAAGAATTATGTTTGTCTTCTTGGGGAATGCAGAATGAGCTCCTCGCGCCGCCGCCGCGCCGCTTGGCCCCCGCGGTGGAATTCAGGCGCGTGTACGGCGGAGATACAAGCAGAGTTTAGACCGTCAGCATAAACACACACACACACACACTGCCTCCGTCATCCGCTGCCACTCAAGCTGTCTGTGATTTCCGTCTGTGCTCGTGTGGATATTATTTGACAGACTGTAGTTCAAGAGGCTTGAAAGTAAGAAACCAATGAGTGGAGTAGAACTGCAGCCCCGGCAGACAGAAAGACAACGGAACGGCTGACAAAGGAGGAAAAGAATCACAAAACACCACAAAGGCCCGACGGTGAAAGGCGGCAGAAAGGGAAAAGCAAAGCAAGCGAAAAATGACTTTTCAAAAATCAAAGACTCCACAAAAATCATTATTTGCTCTTTGCTCAATGTCAGGTAGAGTATCTCCCTGCAGTTATTTGCCCCCCCCGCCAACATGGAGCCATAGCCCCCGACCTGACAGCATTCAGACGGCGCCCTGCTCACTCCTCCGGGGGGAACCTTCCTCCCCTGCACTCACTCGCTTTGTGTCACGACAAAGTGAGAAAGAACACGCAGCTGCTGCATGAAATTAGGATACAGGTCGGTAGTTTAAAATGATTTTAAACAATAAAATGATAAAGTAAGAAAGAATAAACTAAATAGGATAGATAAGAATAGAATAATAATAGAATAAACTAAAATATAATAAATAGAAACGAGTAAATGTGACATATAATGCATGGATTTATTTTGCATTATACTACTACTGACATTCAGCTCTAAAAGATGGAAGCCTGTTTCCAGCATTGACTCCATGTAAACTCAAAGATAAAAGCCTCACCTGCACATCTAACACCTGAATCCAGCGCACACTAAAGACGCGCCTCTTCAGACTCTACCGCGACTAAAAGACTAACAAATTGTAGCATTGTAGCACAAATTGTAGAAATTGCACTTTCTTGTTCTTCTGAGTTTGTATCCCTCCCGTTGAATACACTTATTGTAAGTTGCTTTGGATAAAAGCGTCAGCTAAACGACATGTGATGTGATGTAATGAATCCCGCAGAGCAACGTTACGCCCTCAGACGTCACAGCCGCCTGTCCCCTTTTAGTCCCTGGAGTTATCGTACAGTAAACCCAGCAGATGTGGGTCACGTTCTGATTCCAGAAGATGTCGGAAATAAACAAACAAGGACGTCCTTGTGTCTCTGACCGAGGTCTCTGAAAGGCGCCGTTCTTCCCCCAAACCCACCAGTGGGATCTCCTCATGCTCAAAGTTTCCACGGCTGCCGCCTTCCTCGGTCTGCGTTCTCTTTTTTTTTTTAAATGTTTCCCAGTTCGCCGCCTCATTAGATGAGAGGGACACTGTGCAAACTGACGTGGCGAAAGTGGACTTTTCCGGGGGCGGGCGTTTCCCCCTCGGGTGGGAGCGGTCCCATTCAATGCCGCTCTGTTCAATATTTTATTCATAATTCCCCCCCCGCATATTTAAAATATCGGGCGCAGACGTCTTGGCAATCAGCCCGAGGGTGAAAACTCTCCACAAAACAGGGCCTTCAACGAGATGAACTGCTGGCGTCGATATTCTTGTCCTCCTCATTTCATTAATTTGAATTCTTTTCTTCTGTCCAGTTTTGGGAAGCGATCAGCCGGCAGCCTGCGGCGTGGATGTGAGTGCATCGTCCTGGAACCCTCCGAGATGATTGTGGTGAGTCTCATTTTCGTTCTCTTGAATGTGCATTTCAAAAGCCCTGTGACCCAAATCCACGCAGCCGTTTGTTGCGCTTCCAGTACTTTTCTTCCCCCCCCCGAAAAGCGACTTAACGAGTCGGTTTTCTGGTTTAAGCGTAATCCAGCAGCGCTCGGCCTCCCAAAGTCCGGCGTCCCGCTTCAGTCTCCTCTGATGTTGGCATAGTGGATAATAAGTGATGGATTGTGTGTGTCAGGGAGACACCAAACCTTCTGACAGCGGCGTAGCGCAGAGCCGGTCCGCTGATGTTTCTCCACAGTGAAGCACAGCTGGTTTTTATTCTCTTTAATGGACCACTCCGGCATGCGCGCAGCCGCTCGGGTCCACGGCGGGGAGAAGCTCTTATGGCAAATGATTTTATGAAATCTTAAAAAAAAAAAAAAAATAGGTTCTTCCATACAACAAATCATCATCTGTCCACCAGAAGGTCTCACAACGGACTCTTTGCTCATACGAGGCGAAATACTGGCTAAAACGAGTACGAAGAAGTTCACAAGTGTACATTTCCTATTTCCAAAATGGAAAAGACCGAGGACACTGTGCACGAGCCACATGAGGCCGATGCACGGAGACCATTTGACTGCTTGATGTTATGAGTTTGGCTTCTGGCACGTTATTTAAACGCTCTTTGCCTTTTTCTAAATGAAACATGAACTCGACCCACTCGACGCTCTGTAATAACCACGGCTTGGCACTGCACATCAAATGATGTAATTACCTTGTCTCCTTGAGTGCGTGTGTATGTGTGTGTGGGAAAGGGGGGGCTTCTGTTAACGGATCCTGGATCAGCAGCTGCAGCCCTCCCACCCCGGCCCCCCCGGTAATAACACCCTCTGCTCCGCTCGCTGCAGACACTTTCTTGCCTTAACCCGTCTGCTGTAACGGTGCCAACCCGCCCTGCAATCACCAGGGAGGGATTTGTGCTCCTGCAGTATAGATGCATATGGATGACACCCCCCCTCCCCCCCCACACACACACACACACACCCTAAGTTTGAGTTGCGCACAGATCATGTGTCAGTTACTGTACTTACCTGCACAACGCGCGCACGCGCCGCTCGGATTTCTGCAGCGAGACGCACAATCGCACTTCACACGTCGCGGATCGCGAGCGGCTCCCCTGCCGTTGTCATGGCAGCAGTCATGAGAGCGATTTCAGTGGTGTAATCCCAGAGGCTGAGCGCCGTAAAAAAAAAAAAAAGCGAGACCGCAGTGAAAGTGCCGAGTGAGCGCGGGGAATGTGTCCAAAGAAGGAGGAAGAGAGGAAAAGAAACCTAAAAAAAACGTCCTTCCAGCCGTTCCAGAGTGGGACGTAGAGGAACGCGACTTCACGGCACAAATGTCAGTGGCATCTTGTGCCTTTTTCCACTTGGAAAGGGTTCTTTTTCTCCTCCTTCCAGATTCCTTAGGAATGGAAACCGGATTAATCCTGTTTTAAAATGCATTGTGATTGTGTTTGGTACGTTTTGCAGACACTTTTACTCCGTCAGGCTCCATCTCTGTTTATCGTCCTTCTCACTCTGTTTCTTTTACGCTGTGAGCTCTTTGACGTAGGTGTGCACCGTGCAGCCCACACACACACACACACACACACACACACACACTTCTATTTTTACGCAATGAGAGGGGCGGGAGGCAGCGGGGTGGAGGAGGAGGAGGAATCTGAGATGGAGCATAGGAGGGTGGGGTTCTTTCGGGGGTGTGCTTGGGGCGTGAATGGAAGATGAAGACAGTCACCCCCCCCCCGTCTCTCCCTGTGCTCGGCTCCCCACCGTCTCCAGGTGGACTACATGGATGAAAATGAGGAGTACTTCCAGCGACAAGCCTCGCACCGACAGTCCCGCCGGCGCTTCCGCAAGATCAACCAGAAAGGGGAGCGGCAGACCATCATCGACACCGTGGACCCCTACCCCACCGGCAAGCCGCCCATAGACCGGGGGTACCACACGGTGAGTCCGCCCGCCGCTGTGTGTGTGTGGTTGTGTGTGTGTGGTTCCCCCCCCCCGAGGGGCTCTCCGGCTCTCCCGTGTGCGGTGTCGAGCTGTTGTCACTGTCCCGTCCTGGCTACATTTAAATGTAGCTGTACACGCGCTCTGTGTGCGAAATGTTTTACGGTTTGTGAGTCTCTGTGCCACACGCGCGTTTGTTTGTGGTCTCGACGTCAGAGAAACACAAAAAGAAGTCGCCGCTGTTATGTCAACGGTAAATTCAAGGTTCAGGTCGTCACGCGGTTGTTCACAGAAAGTGCGGCCTGAGGAATTAAACCTGAAATGGGTTTGGGTCACTGAAATAAGGGCAGAGAAAGTTGCAAAGGCTCGGAGTGACCGTTGGGGAAGCGCTTTGCTTCCTCTGCCTGTAAATGTTAAAGTATGATGAGGGGCAGAACAGCGTCTGTCAAACATTTAAGTTATGTGAGAAACTATTAAGTGTGTTTTTAGGGAGGGGGGGGGGGGGGTTCTTGGTCAGAAAGTGCTTATTTTCCAGAGTCACATATCACAAAAAAATAATAAATGTTGTATGAAAGCGCTAGAGGCTGCGCCCGTCAGCCTCTATCGGTATTTTGGATGAAAAAATGAAAGCAGAAGTGCGGTTTGGGGCTCTGACAGTGCAAAGCCTCGTCCAATCAGAGAACAGCGTGGATAAATGTTACTGTAAACCATGTAGAGCAGTGGTCCCCAACCACCGGGCCGTGGGCCGTTTGGTAGCGGGCCGCACCACAGAAAGCTTATATATATATTTTTTTTTTCAGAAAAATGTTTTATTTTGAAAATTGACAAACTCGTATTCCCCACGCGTCACCAGGCGTTTGTCCTCTTACCGTGCACGGCAGTTTTGCGACTACTACACCCAAAGCGGTCCGTGAGGTAAAAAAGGTTGGGGATCACTGATGTAGAGGGGTCGGTCTCCATCGGGGGCCGCTGCCCGCTGCACCACCTTCTCTCCCTTCTCTTTCCCTGGGAATGGGAAGCGAAGCGTGTTCACACTAACGATGTAAATACCCAGCATGCCGTTCCTACACACAGCGTTTCCTGTTCTGCACAATTTCACTACATTCCTCTCATTCCCGGCATTCCCCCGGGGGCCCTGTCAGTGCACCCGGCTCTTCCTGTAACAACAAGCTTAAAAAAGGGAAAATGCGGCAAGCGTCATCTTCCCCCTCCCTCCCTCCCTCTCTCCAGCCCCACCCTGCTTCCCTAGATTCATACTCGCCGGGTTTTTTCTTTCAAGAGACCGCACTGAACTTTCACATGGCCCGACGTCTCGACTCTCCCCGCTCCAGCACCGCTCCCGCGGGAAGGGATGGAGCGGGTGCCATGGCGACCAGCAGTCCCGAACGGGCTCTGGCCGAGTGCACTTAGCAGTACAGTAGGGAAAGTGCAGCGCGCTGCCGCTGGCAGCAGAGCGACAGAGCAGCTGGATCCGGGGCGGACGCCAAGCCGGCGTAGCGAGCTAATCTCCAGCATTTAGAATGCCGGGCGGCGCTCCGGTTTTCCGCCCGCCCACCGCCAGCCGCGTTTAGGAGGTAAGAAATGCTCCGAGGAGAAACTTGGGATTGAAGAGAGGAAGTCTCTCTGGCAGGCGAGGTTTTATTCAGCTTAGTCATCCCTGTGAAGGCAAATGTGATGCGAGGTAGGAAAACGCGAGAGGAGCCACGGAGCTCAAGCTTTCAAAGCACCAGAAATGTGAGAAATACTGGAGTCTGTTTTCATTCTGGGGCGTTTATTTAGAGATGATTCCTTTCACTGACAACCAGATTATTGTTCCGTTTCCTCTTCTAAAAAGCGAGAGGAAGGAGAAGCGGAACGTCCTCACACGTGTGACTGATGCGCGGCTTCAGCTGTTATCCAGTTTAATTTCAGCTGATTGATTAAGCACCCGATGGTTTATTGAAGCTGCATCTCGGAGATTGGACTTTACTTCATATTCGGTTGTTAGCTGTGTGGCAGCTGATGTTGGAGCGATGCATTTAGGTAGCATTTCAAAGTTCTCCAACAATGCGGCAGTGAGGATAAAAGACACCAGGTAAACAACGTTTACTTGTTAAATGTTTAAAGAATGTTTACGTCATTATTGTTGGAACTTTTCATTTCTTACTTGACCGAGATGTGACGTGCCGGCCTCCATCTTCAAACATAAAGGAGTCCTGGCCTAAAGTACAATATTCCTACGAATAACTGGTTTCACTATCGGCTTTATTAATATTTAACTAATTCCTATCTATTATAAGCGTGGAATAGTATTTCTCAGCTGGTGAAGTTGACGCGAGTCAAGCAGCATGAGGGGGCCAAGCGAAGTGCTTTCTGTAACCGTTTGAGCCTCATGAACAGAAGCTTTTCTTGTAGCCTGAGATGCAAAGAAGAGACATCCGAGACGAATCTGTGACGCCTTTTGTTTTCACTCGTCTCCGTCCAGTTAATCGCTTGGAATCGATTCAGGCCGATGTAAAGTAAGACACGTCTCTTTGGTGTAGTTTTCCTCCTCTGGTCGCCGATAGAGTCCAGATTTAACTGAAGCTCGCCGTCCCCGCAAACTTAAATCAGTATTTTGCCTCCACTGGGCAGCTAAAAAAATGTTTTGGCTGTGTGAGAGTACATCTGTGTTCCTGCAGATGCGGGCCGGGTGAATCGGGCCGTGAAAGGCGACAGTGTTTATGATTCACCCCTCGTCTCCTGTGCGCTCGCAGCACTGGGTGCCTTCGTTCGTCAGAATGCTCCTCTAATATCAACAGCCGTGTTGTCCTGGAACACACACAGATTTACTCCCTTATCTCTCCCTCAGTCAGTCCCTTAATATCTTTGTGCTGTCACTCAGTTGAAAGTGTTGACGCGGCCGCCGCTCGGTGCCTCATGTTTACTGAGCGCTAAACTCTTGATTTTTATCAACCCAGAAAATTATGATAATTTCCAATATCTCCCATCTTCCTTTGTCCTCCGTTTCTCCTCTCCGCGGTGTTCTCCTGCTCCACCCCCGAACCCCCCGAGCCGACGAGGAAATATTCCTCCCGCGGCTTGACTCAAAGGCGCCAAGCGGCTGTTCTATAATTATGCGAGCAGCGGGAGTCGGCCAATCAATACTCCTTTTACTCCCTTTTCCTCCACCCGGGCGGCCGACCCTGCAGTCAGAAGGTCACATGTTTAATCCCCGCAACAGCGCAAGCGCCCGTCAGCAGCCGCGGCCTCTGCTGGAGTGTCCTTCACACCGACGTTACGCTCCTCTTCTGACTACTTTGTAATAGGAGTATTTGTGTCTGGAGGCGTTTTGATGTAGAAAGCTACGTTTCGGCATCTGAGACGATGTTTCTGTTCTTTAACTTATCTGTTATTAAGGCTTATTCCATCCCAATAAAAAGCCTACGAACCTAAACCCTTTATTTTTTTTATTTTTTTTTTATGGCCCTACCACCTCTGTCCTCCCCTCCAGTTGTTTTGCGTTAGCTTAAGCTAACGTGTTGCCACCTCCAGTTTAACGGATCCAACGCTGCTTCAGTCGGCAAGCATTCAGTGCATTTCCCAAAGTAGTGCACTATTAACTTGATAATTTCCTTCACTGAGAGAGCTCCTCCTGCCACCTTTATTGGATCTGCCTGCTATGTGCGATTTAATTCAAACACATGGACGTTGCGATTGATTTTGAAAAACCAAATCTGGTGTACGATCGTTTGATCATCGTGCGATTGTTGTCATGTAGAAACAGGATAACTTCGTAGCCTTTTCAGCCTCGCTCGCGTGCGTTTTGAGTGATTTTAAAAAAGCTTTCCACATAGCCTCTTTATAATCAGAGTCCTATTGTCCATTTAGAGGTCAAACATGTCCTGCAGTGGTAATGAGGAGGTTGGGAAGTTAAAGCGATGTGTTCTGTAATCTGCAGGGTGTGTGTGTGTGTGTGTGAATAACAATGCACACGGCTGCGTGTTCCCTACCTGTCCTTGGCATTAAGAGTCCCAGAACAATGAAAAGGCTTTAAACTGTAGGTCGATATCATCACTGTGTTTAACATTGAAGTGTTTCTTCTTATTGGGCATAAAGGGCGTTTTTAAGCGTGTCACACGTTTTTCTCTCGCTGCATTTTTTAACACGCCGCTGCAGCTCTCAGCTGCTCGTTCTCACAAACCCTGGGCTGACAAGTGGCCTGTTTGATAACTTTCATCTCCTCTGCTTCTTTCCATGGCTTCCTCCCTTAACCTGCCTCCCAGGGATGCAATAAACCTCAGGTACCGTATCATTTGGCAGTGTTGTTTTGTGTTTTCTATATATAGACGTGTGTTTGTGTGTCCTAGCTGTCTGTGTTTGTGTTGCTGCTGGTGGTTTTATCTGCTTCTCGTCACCGTGTCTGTGGCGGCCGGTAGACTCCCTTAATAAATCCCTTCCCGTTTTGCTGCCATTGAGGCTGAAAAAATCCCCACGGCATCCTTCTCCTTCCACACACACACGCACACACACACACCAAGCTGTTTTTGATCTGAAGAATGAACATGGTTGAGAATGGACCTCATCACGCCGCCGGTGATGACGGAGGAACGATGAACAACCTCCGCTACGGCTTATGGGCCCGTAAACTGAGATAATGGGCCACAATTAAGCTGATTGAGGGGCATCATTTTCCCTGCTGATGTGCTTGACGATGGCGTTGACTGTCTTGCGGCGCTATAGATCATCCTCGCCCCCGCCGTGTGGGCGTGGCTCTGTTGGTCCTTGCCTCGACGTGGAGATGATCCCCTGATGGGGGGCTTTAAAGGGTTTGATTACGATGGCAGTGAGGGACGTTTACCCAAACATCACACGGCTGTTTAAAGAGGAACCTGCCTGTCCTGCCGCCCCGTGGGTTTGGATTCAGTCGGGGTCCTGCAGGGGGCGCCGAGCGTGAAGTGGATGGGAAGCAGGAGGTTGCAAAGATCCGAGATGAAGGTGTCCAGCAGTTGAGACCTGCTGAGCAGTGGCGGAGAGAACAAACCTGCCACTCTGGGGCAGAAGCACGGGTTCTTTGTGACAGCCGGCGCCGCTTCAGCTGAGCCTCTGTGTGAAGAAACGCTTCATTGTACACGTCTTTATAGCTCTATTGCCTCCTGCATGCCTCATTCTTTGTGAGTTTTATATATTCAGAGGCGCTTTTCAGGGCTGCAGCTTTTATTTATGTATTCAGTAATCTGTCAGAACTGCCTATGAATACTCATTTTAGTTTCTCCAAGCTGATATTACCGTAATGGTTTGTTTTCTCTGACGAAGTCCCAAACCCAACAACATCCAGTTTTATCTGAAATGAGCAGCATAAGAAATTTTCGGTCTTTCCACAAATTGATGTTCAACTGTTTCAGCCCCTGATTTTATTGGTGTTGATCAAACACTGCTAGCATTAAAAACAGCGGTCGTACTTCCATTATTTTCTCCATGATGATGAATACAATAGTTTTTGTTTTTTGTCTTTCTTCTTTCCAACGCGGACACCAAAAGCCGTATCTGTGTTTAGAGTTATTAATAGCCAAACGTGCAACCTTGACAGAAATAGAACCGGTATTTTTGGTGGTGTTCGCACTCGATAAGTTGCGCCCTGTGAAATGAAGAGAAGCGAGCCGCTCGTTCAAAGGCGCTGATGGAAAAGACGCTCGCTGACATTTGGTTTGCTTTTCACGTCACTTTTGACATTCAAAAGACCTTTTTTTTTTTCCCTTTAAAGTTGGGTTATTTTCAAAAGGCTTGACAGGTGACATTTAGGTCTGCGGTAATGAGCCTGCGTGTTGAGGATGGCAGAGTGCTCTTTGTTGTTTGTCATGTAAATATGATCCCAATCTCTTACAGCAATCTGTTCGAGCTGCTCGCTGTGCAGCGCCTTATCGAGGCTGCAGGTTTCAACAGACCTGCAGATGCACATCTGCATTCCTACTCTGCTGGTTCGCTTAATCGAGGGTTCAAATCATTTAAATCGGCCACATATTTGCATGCATCCCTCCATGAGAGATGGCGATAATGTTGATCCCTTCAGTCGCCGGTGCTCTTTGTGTTGAGCACTGATGGTTGTTGAGGTGCAAATAGCTCAGGTTTCCTTTCTCCGTGTCTTTCTGATATGGAAAGCAGCGAAACGGGAACAGAATGCCCAGAGTTGTCTCCTTGGCTGCAGTTAAACACTTCAAGTTAATTACCTTCCACAGTGAGTCAATAACCTCCACCGGAAACCTCTAGTTTCTCATCAACTTCTCACTCGCTCGCCAACCATCTCAGTTCGCCACTTATTCTCCAAGAGCGCCTTTACTCTGTGATTGATGCACTTTGCAGCCGACAGATGTTTCGCTCCTGTGAAGCTGCACGTGTAATCTTTTAAACGCGTCTGGCTGCCTGTTTTTTTTTTTTTTTTTTCTGTCAAATTATTTTCCAAGCGACTTGATAGATGAAAAAATCCCTGGGGCTGAAATCACAGTGTCTTTATTAGATCATCTCTCTCGTTCTAACAATGCTATTTAGAGCCGTCGTGATGGGAGCGACTTGAAGGATTAATGCACTCAGGAGCTCTGCGTTTCCTCCACTGTTGGTTTACACATTCAGTCAATAAGACGCCGATTAATGAATCACCGTGTGTGGAGTTTGATCCTATAATAGCCAAAGTGTGTCTATAAGTCACGCGTTCTGTGGAGGTTTCCTGCTCCTCTAATGCCGGGCCGGCTGGGAGACGTGATTTAGTGTTCCTGTTTTGAAAGATGAGTTGTTCCTAAACGCTTTTGTGCATATTGTTTTTTTTTTTTTTTCTGGCTTTCTCAATATCCTGCTGTTGCTTCTGTGCACGGCACAATTGTCAGTCAGCTGGGGGGGGGCACAAAGAAATAAGCTGGTGTTTTCTTATGCTAGTTTACCGTTTCATTGAATTTTGTCGGCTGTAGAAAAAGAAGAAATGCCAAATCCAAAGTTCAATTTAACAATCAATCATTTTAATCGGATTCTGCAACTGGGCAATTTCAAAATTGATGATGTTTTGGTGAAAGAGAAATGAAATCTGAAGCATTTCCAGTTCTGCCGGCACACAATTCACCTCACCGAGATGCAACGGGGTGAGAAGCACATTGAGGTCCGGGGACACAGAATTCTGGGTGAGGAGCTGGACCCCGGACATGCATCCAGATGTTTGTTGGCTTATTTTGCCGGTTTTTAGGAGGTTGTTTTGTGTCTGAACGATGATTCTTTTAAAAAAATGCTGTTTTTCTCTCAGCTGTGTCCTCATTTGAATTCAGTAACGTCTCATTTTGCTTTGCTGGTTGAACAGCTTCTTCAAAGGGGAGCTTCAAACACTGATTTATTAACGTGAATCACAAAGAGTTGAATTAGGAAAGTAAGGGAGGTAGATGACTGATTTGATGTATGATGTTTTTTTACACCCATGAACACTTGCCTGTGTGTGTGTGTGTGTGTGTGTGTGTGTGTGTGTGTGTGTGTCACGTGATGCTGTCATGCAGCAGTGTAATGAGCTTTTTATGGCTCTAATGCTACGCATCAGCTAGCAAAACACCATCACACGGCCGACCCCATGAATGCATTGAACAGCAGCAGCCGGCTTCGGACTGTTTACCAACGGCAGATGAGGCCCCGCCCACCCCCTTCCACCTCATGCGCTTAGCACGCACTGCCATTGAGCACGAGTACGTTAATGTCTTTCTCGAGTGCGTTTTTCCACATCACTGTCACGACGCTCCAAGATCGATGCTCTCCCGCCTCCCTCCCTTTGCATTTAGCCTGCGATTAGCGGCTAGAAAATAAATAAAAAAGGAAGATTCATTAGCTTGTTTGTTCCTCGATACGCTTTAAAATGGGGGGGGGGGTTGGGCAGGAAGGTCTGATATTCCCCAGACACGACCCCGTTGCCGCGGTGATGTAATGATGCTCCTCTCCTCCCCCTCTGGTGATTGTTTGAGATGTTAATGGCCGTGCTGGTCCCAGCAAAGCACCTGAGCTCTTTTTTGTTTTGTTTTTCCGTGATGCATTACATCATGGCTTGGGGGAGGAGGGGTGATGTCATACCAGTTCTTCAGCTTCCCTCCCCCTCACCTCCTCCCACTCAGCCCCCCTCCCCGTTACTCTGACTGGAGCGGCTCCAAAACCAGCAAACAGTACGCTGCTTTCTAGGGTTTGTCTGTCCTATAACAAAAAGAAAGTACGTCAAGAAAAATGCTTATTTTTATTTATTTGTGAGACGTGTGTTCAACTTTTCTTTTACACCATTTTAACCTGATTTCTCAGAATCAGCATCATAGTTTTGTATATGATTGATCTATGTGAAAATAACCATTTGTTCAGTAGATTTTCCAGCTTTTTTATAATCTGTAAATGGCAAAAATGTGCTGGTATAGTCCGACATATTTATTAAATATATTGCAGCTTCATACAATTATATTCTATATTAATGATTTAACGTGTTGTGACTTTTACAAACACAAAAATAATGAGTGAACCGGACAGCAGGACACAATCCACGAAAAATGGCTTGAAAACCGCATGACAACGACTTCTTGAGGTGTGAAACTTGTGGAAGAAGCGTGCGATGATGTGTAAATAATGGCATCTCTGGTTGGTCCTTTGTGTGTCTGTGAACTGCTTTAATCTGTCTTTTTTTTGCCATGTGAATAGGAATTTTCATTGCCTTGGTTGGCCTTTAAACACCCCCCCCGTCCCCCATTGTTCCCCGGGACGTCCTTTAGTCGTTTAAAGTGCTGTCCTCATATCTGTCTGTCAGGGGACCTTCATAAAAGGGACCGGCTACGGATCCAATATCCAGGGCCTCTGGAGGCATGGACCTGAGAACACACACACACACACACACACACACACACACACACACACACACACACACACTTCCTCCCTTCACAAAGCAGCGATGTGTGTTTGCGTGTTTGTTGGTGACGCTGCTGTTGAGTGAAGGTGAAGTGGAAGTCTTTTGCCACTTCTGCTGTCTCTTCCCCTTTTCTCACACACACACACACACACACACACACACACACACACGCACACCCTCCTCCCTCCATTTTGCCTTGTGTCGCTGCTGCCGTCGCCACAGCAACTGAAAGCCCTGTAGGGGTGTGCAGGGGGTGTGCATGGCGGAGGGGGGTGCTCGCGCTCACCCAGTTGCCATGGCTATTCCTGCTGAGTGACAGAGTGACATCACTGCTGGCAGCCTCATGTGTTCACTTGGGGTGTGTTTTTTTTATTTATTTTTTTTACCTCCCAGCTCCCGTCT